GTACAGCATGTTTAAAATGTAAGGAATGCAACTGAAACATGACTTAGAGGAAAGTTTATAGCTTTCGATATTTATTTTGGGAAAATAGGTCCAAAATAAATGAGCTCCATTTCCATCTTACAAGCTAAGGGAAAAATAACAACAAAAAGGTAAAAATAGTAGAGAGAGTAGGAAACAACAAAATAGAAAATGAACCCCTGACAAATTAACAAGCTCAATATAGTGAGCAGGTGTACTCAGAAAAAATTAAGGAAATCAGTAAGTCCCAAGATAGACGAATCAAGAAAGGAAGAAAGAGAAATTACCAATATTGGGAATGAAAGAGGAGCTACTCCTACATATCCCACGTACTTTAAAAGGGCATCAGGGAATATCATGAACAACTTTATACGACAACATGCACTGAGGCTGGTGAGTTCAAACCCAGCCCCAGCCAGCTAAACAACAATGACAACTGCAATGGCATTGTGGCGGGCACCTGTAGTTCCAGCTACTTGAGAGGCTGAGGCAAGAGAATTGCTTAAGCTCAAGAGTTTGAGGTTTCTGTGAGCTATGATGCCACTGCACTCTACCAAGGGCAACCTAGTGAGACTCTGTCTCCAAAAAAAAGAAAAGAAAGACTTCTACACTGAAAACTATAAAGCATTGCTAATGAAAACAAAAGAAGACTTACATAAATGAAGACTTACGTGAGACTCAATATTGCTAAGAAGTTAATTCTATCCCAAATTGTTCTATATACTAAATGCAATCCCCATAACAATTCCACCAGGATTTTTTTTTTGGGGGGGGAGTAAAAATTGTGAACCTGATTCTAAACTGTATGTAGAAATACAAAGGAACTAGAATATATAAGCAATTTTGGGAGAAAAGCTAAGACAGGAAGTTGTGTGATTTACAATACATGACTTCAAGACCTCCAAAGCTACCATGATCATAAAGAAAAGTGGTAACAACATGAAAATCCATGAATAGATCAAAGAAACAGAGAATAGAGCCAAGAAATCACACTTAAACAATCAATATTTTTATAGAAGGACCAGAGCAATCTGATAGGAAACAGATTATCTATCACACAACAGTGTTGACACATATTGATATCCTCTTGGGGGGAAAAAAACTTTGACATCTGCCTTATACCACATACATAATTAATTGAAAATGAATGGTAGCCCTAAAACTAAAACTAAACTCTGAAACTATAAAGCATCTAAAAGCAAACAGGAGAAAGCAGAGAGAAATATTTTGAGGAAAAACAAAGATTGCTTAAGACACAGAAATCAATAATTGAAACTAAGAAGAAATGATAAATCATGCTAAATATGTCAAAATGGAAATCTTCCATTCACCATTAGATCCTGCAAAATAAATGAATATACATGTCCAAATTAGTCATAAATATCATCAAAACATATGTGGGATGATATACTCATATTTCATACACCTATAACTCAGTAACAAAAAGCAACCCAGTAAAAAGGGGCAAAGGATACGATTAGCTGCTTCACAAAGATGACAAATGGACAATAAACTCATCAAAAAGTGTTCAGTGTCATTAGTCACAGTGGAAACCACAATGCATTACCAGTACAACCCAGCAGCACCACTAAATTAGAAAATCCAAGATCACCAAGTGTTGGTGAACACGTGGACTTGGATTTGCCACACAGTGTTAATGGGTATATCAGATGTCACAGCCACTTTGGGAAAATCTGTGTCAGATTTTTTACAAATGTAAACCTTTAACCACCTGCCTAATAACCTACCAATTTCACTTTTAGGTATTTACCCAAGAGAAATAAATACACACACACCCCCAAAAACTTGTACAAGGTTGTTTACAGCAGCTTTTTTTCACGTAGTGTAAACACGGAAACAGTCCAGATGTTTATCAACAAGAGAATGGAAAGGCTACAATCTATTCATACAATGGAATACTCTAACAATTATAAAAACAAAGGGTTAGCATTGAAAGATTACACAGAGAGAAAGAAACTTTACCCAAGAGTTTACACTGTATGATGAGATTTATGTGAAGTTCTAGAAGAGGCAAACCTAATCTATGGTGGGGGGAAATCAGATTAGATATTTCCTTTGTGGAGGTGAAAGTGGAATTGAGTGGGAAAGGAGCCAGAAGAAAACCTGTGTGAACCAGTCGTGGTGGGGCACACCTCCCCACCATGACTAGTTCATAACTTGGGAAGTCTGGGCAGGAGGATTGTTTAAGCCTAGGAGTTCAAAGCTTCAGTGAGCTATGATGGTGCCACTGCACTAGAGCCTGGGTGACAGAGCAAGACTTCATTTCAAAAGAAAAAAGAGAAAAAGAGAGATAGAAAGGGAGAGGGTAGTGCCTGTGGCTCAAAGGAGTAGGGCGCTGACCCCATATGCCAGAGGTGGTGGGTTCAAACCCAACCCCGGTCAAAAACAAACAAACAAACAAAAACCAAAAAAAACAAAAAGAAAGGAAGGAAGAGAGAGAGAGGGAAAGAAAGAGGAGGAAAGAAGGAAGGAAAGGAAGGAGGAAAGGAAGGAAGAAAAGAGGGAAAGGAATGTTTCATGGACAAATAAATAAAATGCCATTTATGTGTTTTAATTATTTCTACTTCCAGTTTCTGTCTCAGTGGTCAACATCATTTTCATTATGTAACGATCACTTGAAATGTATGAACTTCAGAAACTAAGCATTCAAACACATAATTCTGCCTACAATTTTATGAGGTTTTTAGGCCCCAGAAGCCCATCCATGATCCAGGCTTTATACCTTCATCTCTTCATAAAAGTGTACAAGTATACCAAGGAATCAGAGCATTGAACATAACTAATTAGGGTGCATTCTATTATTTTGGCCTAAGGCAAAAATAAAATTCAGAGTATCTTAAATGGTCTCTGACTTCCACAGGACAAGGAAGAAAGAGGGACTAATAAGGCCATCTCGGTCACAAGGTAGATGTGTTCAGAGGCAGATGCTTCTTGCTTCTCGGGACACCATAATTCCCATTGTTTGAAGCATACTTAGCTGCAGAGAGATCCCTGATGCCTCCACAGCAACTCTAAGGAAATGTGG